AGCCGCGCGGCGGGGGGAAAGGGCCGGAGTCTCCCGGTAACCGTGGGACGAGGGTCCTGAGCCCGCAGCCCGGGGGGAGGCGGCGGCGGCCGTGCAGGCCGGGCCTCACTTTGCGCTTGAGGAAACTGAGGACGGAAGGCCAAGGTCACCCCGCAGGCACGGAGTCCGGCCCGCTCCCCTCCCGCGGCGCTTTGTTCCGCCGCTCGGCGGTTTGGGGGTTTGCCGGGGAGGCCCCGGGGTTGGGAGCCAGGTGGGGGCGTGGTCACAGCGCCGTCGGCCCGCCCCCCACCCCGGGCCTCTGTGGGTGGGGGTGGGGCCGTCTCTGGGGGCGGTGGGCTCCCAGGTTGAAGGTGACCCTCGCCGAGGAGCGTCCCCCCTTGACCTGTTGTTGGCCACCGAAGTTCTTGCTTCTCCAAGCCATGTGCAAAATCCGTAGGGTTCTTGGCTCTCTTCTCAATTTGCATGAAGTTTAAAGAAAGTAAACACCTTTGACCTGATGGTCGAACTGGACTTGTAAATAGATTTATTATATATATTATATATTCTTATTGAGTTTTTTTTTTTTTTTTTTTGGTGGAAGTGATAGGTGGTAGAGAAAGTGAAGGTTTTAGGTTAATGAATGAACGTTAACTCCTGCAGTGTTTTCCATATGAGTATGATAAGGAGACAGTCACTACAATAAACAGGGACATTTGAGATAAAGCAGGGAAATGAAAAGCATAATGTGTTATAACTTTGCCAACTGTATTGAGTTTGCGTGGACATAGATTTCCTTTTTCCTTTAAAATATTCTATGTGAGAAGGGAAAAACTAGAGAGATTGTAAGCTTCATGAAAGCAGGGATGCTTTTTTGTTCTCCGTTGTATCCTAGTACCTGTCGGTTGGTTCTTCATAAATACCCATGACTTGAGTAAGTGAGTGATACTGAGATTTCAAGTGATGGTTATTTCTGTACCTTGCCTTAGCTCTTTGTAGTAATCTATTATAGTAGGAGGAAGCATTTCAAGATAGATAATTCAATAAATAGTATTGGAACAGCTCCTAAGTCAAAATATTGCATGAGTAAATTTTAGATGTATTAAAGATTTAAATGTAACACAAACTAATTTATAATAAAATAATTAGAAGAAAATATCAAGGACAAATGCAGGATATTATTTTAATAATACTGGATAGCAGAAGAGGTTCCTAGGCAAAACACAGAATATATACTCGATAAAGGAAAATATTGGCAGAGTTGGTTGTATAAAAATATTGAAAGCTTTTGATGATAAAAAGACAGGTGAATAGCTGGGTGTGGTGACTCTTGTCTGTAATCACAAACACTTGGGAGGCTGAGACAGGAGGATTGCAGGCTTGAGACTAGCTAGCCTGGGCTTTCTAGGAACATGTTTCAAACAAAACAAACATTAACAACAGGGAAAAAACCACCATAATAAATTTGTACATATTAATAAGAAAACCAATTAGAAAAGAAAACCTTCCAAAAGAAAGGCAAGGAATCTAAATGGTATTTCATAAAAGGAGAAGTACAAGTAGACAGTGGACAGGGGGAAAGCTGTACTCCATGAATAACTGATAAATTTTCTACTTAGGTAGGCAGAAGTGAATATGACACTCTCTAGTATTGGCAGGGGCATAGAGATTAGAGAAACATTCCTTAGTGGGTCTGTAAGTTGGGCTCCCTTTAGGAGTCAAGCACAGTAATATTTACTAAAATGTTATACTTTAACCCAGAAATCATCTGTATGTGGATTTATCTGATAGAAATTTGAGAGCCAATTCTTACAAGAACTATACAGTAATCTTTAGTATAGCATTATTTCTGATAGCAAAAAATAAGAATGTTCCAGATGTTTGTCAGATTTTGATATACCAATCTAAGTTCCATTTCAGTACCTAAAATAAGTGAGTTGTCAGAGAGCTATCTTGACTCCATTATTAACACTGTTCATAATAGCCAAGCCATGGAAGCAAACTAGGTGTGTGTCAGCAGATGAATGGATCAAAAGGATGGGCATATATACAAAATGAATACTATACAGCCTTAACAAGAAGGCAGTTCTTTCATTCATGATGCCATGGATAGAACTAGGGGACCTTAGATTAAGTGACACCAGCTAGGAACAGATCTGGCTTTTGTGTTGAATCTGAACGAAGTTCATCTTACAGAAGCAGAGAGTGGACAGGTGATTGCCAGAGGCTGGGGCAGTGGGTGGTGGTTAGGGAGGAGAGAGGTGGAAAGGAGCGCTGTTGATCAGAGAGCACAACGTTTCATTTAGACTCATGGTTTGTGTTCCTCCATGGTGACCACAGTTGATAGGAACATTGTCTTCCTTAGGTTTCTAACGCCATGGTAGAGGCCATGACAAAACAGCTTGGGCAGGAAGGGGTATTTCAGTTGACAGTTGACAGTCCCTCAGGAAGGGAAGGCAGGGCAGGAAGTCAAGTGCAGACCTGGAGGAAGACCACTGCTTCCAGTAGCTTTCTCAGCCTGTTTCTTCATACAGCCAACCCAGCACCACCTGGCCAGGGGTGGCACATGCCCACAGTGAACTGGGCCCTCCGCATCAGTCATTAATAAAGGAAATGCCCCACGGCCTTGCCCACAGGCCAGTCTGATGGAAGGATTTTTTCAGTTGATTGCCCTCTTTCACAATAGGTCTGAGTTTGTGAAAACTTGACAGAAACCAACCAGCACAAGTGTATGTTTCAAAATAGCCAAAAGAATAGATTTCTAATGTTATCACAAGAAAGTTGTTGATAAGTTGATGATGGACATGTTAAGTAGCTTGACTTAATCTTTACACAGTATGTACCAATGTTAAAAACATCACATTTGTCGTTTCAGAAGGCAAATTTATTTCTGACATGGTGATAAACACTGTAATAGTAGCCATTGGAAAGCAGAGGCAGGAGGATTGCCAGTTCCAGGCTAATCTGGACTGTATAGAGAGATCCTGCCTTTAGTAGAGGAAAAAGGAATAAAGAAAATTTATAAAAAGCAGTGGATATACTTGTATGTTTACAGATACTAAAACTGAAGAAATGCTATGTATATTAGCTTGCAGGCTAGAATTAATATATTAAGTAAAAAGTTACAGCATGATATATATTCTGTATACACACATATATGCTTACATAAGCAAAGAAAAACTTGTTAGAAGGGTTCACAAATTCTCCTTAGGAGTTTCAAGTAAGTATAAAATGTTGCTAGAGGGTGGAGGACTGTGTTTCTGAATTGTTTGAATTACTATAGTGAGCCAACTTGACTTCTGTAATTTAAGTGATTATAAATTTTTAAGTTAAAAGATTATACTTAGTTGAGAACTGAAAAGAAAATAATCTGACTTTGACCTTGACCTCTAAGTGATTTATAAGTGTAACTCAGACCAACAACTATCCGCAGTGTTTTGTTTCTGGTTAATTTAGCATTCTTGGAAGAGGGTAACCTGTGGGGTAGAGATATATTTACAAAGTCCTGTTATAACAATAAATAATTATCAATTTTTTTGTAATTGAGAACTCTTTAAGTTTTAATATAAATGATAGTTTGGTTATACTTCCAGTGAACATGAGCTAGCACACTTTTTTGGTATTTCTTTTAGAAACATTTAAGGCCTCTGGTATCTGTCTGTGACATTTCTGCAGTGCCTTCCCTGAGAGACTGATTTGTAAAGGACATGTTTTTGTAGGCTGCTGTAGTGTGGATCTGGAGTGTTCCCCGAAGACTCACGTTTTCTAAAGTTTTGATCCTCTCTGTGGCATTGGGAACTGGTAGAAACTAAGAGGTGAGGATTGTGAGACCTTGGTCACTTGCTGTGTGTCCTCACCTTGAAGTGAACAGCTTTGTTGTGATGTACCTGCTTCCCCACAGGTCCAAAGCACTGATCACTTTTGTCTTTTCCTAGAAGTGTTTCTCTCTTGCTCACAGTTTCCCATTCTTATTCCTTAGTGTGGCTTTCTCTGTCTCCACAACTCTTAACTTGTTTTTCAAGATTTTGTTAATTCTTAATTAGCTTATTGTATTAGTCTTTGAATTAGCTATTTTTTGGGATTCCAATATCTCTTGACTCCTTCTAAAATAATCTGTATATTACAAGTCTCAGTGGGATTGTTGTCTTTTTAAGTTTTATTTTCTTAAAATATTAGTGCAACTTCTCTTGTTTCAACACCTTCCTTGGTTTTCCCAGTGTCAGTAGGGTTGAGTGGCTTCAAAACCTCCCTACACCTAAGTCCAAGCCTGTCTCTCTAGCTTCATCTCTTGTCGCTCGCTTCCCTCAACCTCAGCCTTTCTAAACTGTTTGTAATGTCCATCTTTAGCACATGCTGTTGTCTGCTTGAAGTGTCCACTTAAACAACTCCTGTTTCTTCTCAAGACTGAACACCATTTGAATGTGTAAGTGCCTCCGACATTTTTTTCCTTGTCAAATGAGATTTTTAAAAATATAATAATAATAGTAATGATACATGGTCATTATAGAGAATGAAAGTAATCCAGAGAACTATAAGGAATAAAGTGAAAATCACTTGACAACCTACTGCCAGGATTAAGACTTTAAAATCCTATCTCATATTCAGATCTTTGGTGAGCAAATCTATCATTTATTTCCCCTAAATTAAAATACAGACATAGATAATATAGAGGGTACATTTCTTTTGTCATATAGAATGGATCTCCTCTTATGTCTATGATGAAATTATATGCTGTCATATTTGAATAGCTATGTAGTATTTCATTATAGTAAAGAAACCATAATTTACTTGTGAGATCATTTTTTTGTTTGTTTTTTGATTTTTGTTTTTCAATACAGGGTTTCTCTGTGTAGCTCTGGCTATCCTGCAACAACACTCTTTGTAGATCAGGCTGGCCTTGAACTCACAGAGCTCTGCCTGCCTCTGCCTCCCAAGTTCTAGGATTAAAGGCATGGGCCACCACTACTTGGCCATTGTGAAATCATATTCTGATGGGTTTTTAGTTTAGTTTAGTTTTGTTTTGTTTTTGTGAGACAGGGTCTCACTATGTAGCCTTGCCAGGTTGGCCTGGATCTTACTATGTAGACCAGGCTGGCCTCAGTCTCGTAGAGCTGCCTCTGCCTCTGCCTCCTGAGTGCTGGGGCCTTGACGTTATTATATCAGTCAGTATACATGAAAGATGGTGGCAGTAGGAGCCCTGTGTCTACACAGGAACCCTCAAACCAGCTCATGCTCCTGTTGTGTGTCTGACCCAGCAAATTGAACATGTGAAAAGCAGATAGTCAGGAACAGGGGCTCTAGGGAGAAGAGAAAGCATTTTGGGACCAGTGCTGTTTGGAATGTGTATCTCAGGCAAGACTTAGTCCCTCTTTTAAAGGGCTTTTAAGTTTTTAAGCCAGACTACCCATTATAATCTCTTTTTTAAAAATGATCTGATTATGAATTTTCATTGTATCAGTTGAATTCCTTCACAGCAGCACCTCCATTAGTATTAGAATAACCAGGTGGAGGTGTTTTGTGGGCCTCATGATGGCTGTTGTCTTGTTTTGTATTCCTACCACTTAGTGTGCAATAGTCTGGCCATTCGTATTAGCTGGAGAGTAGACGGGATTCGGCAAGTCAGTTTGGTCATGTTGAGGTGTTATTGTGTAAGTCTGGCCGTCCATATTAGCTAGAGAGTAGACGGGATTCGGCAAGTCAGTTTGGTCACGTTGAGGTGTTACTGTGTAATAGTCTGGCCGTCCATATTAGCTAGAGAGTAGACAGGGGATTCGGCAAGTCAGTTTGGTCACGTTGATGTGTGCCAAAGCCATTGAAGGAATATATGATTTTTCTCTTTGCTATGGTGCTTGCATTTGTGTTTGTGGGTTTTTTTTGGGGGGGATAAATTTCTTAAAATGGGAAGAGCATTTTCATTTTCAAGGCCCTGTATTTGATGTTCTGCACTACCAAAAAAGTAGGGTGGGTTCTTTGCTGGTTTGCTTGTTTGTTTTTGGTGTGAAGGGGCAGTAGTGCTACTGTTCACAAGGCCGTATTGACTCTCAAAGTATTTAATGATGAAAACTACAACAGATAATTGAAGAAATGCACTAATTTAAAAAATGTGCAGAGCACAATACATTCAGTTCTTTTGCTCTTGAAGATAAAATATTTTCTTAGTTGTTTTTAACGTGGTGTTCTGAGGATTTCCTAGTATTGAGAAAGGCACTAAAGAATTACTGAGAAATTATTGAACTGGCCGTCGCATTTCAGATAATCTTTTTTTTTTTTTCATTATCAGTCATATGGATAGTATTATATTATGGAACTTATGTTGGTGATGTGAAGTTGATATTGAAGGGGCAGGTGGTAACACCAAATAGACAGATAAGGTTATACTTTAGATGAGAGGCAATGTATAGTTGATTGACAGGAGGATGACCTCTTATTTGGTTTTACTGTATTCATGAATTTATTGCAAACCAGATTGTTAAAGGCAATGCTTTGCTCCCTTTGAAAACTTTAATATGTTGCTAAGATTCTTTGAAAGACATGTTTACTGAAATAGTCCACAATTGAGCTATAATGTGAATTTTAATTTTCTTGTAAGTTCTTACAATTTGATACTCTTAAATAACATCTTCTCTCTTTGAGATGTATGTGGGATGGAACGCAGTGCCTTGAGTATGTTAGACAAATACTCTGCCACTCAGCAATACCCACAGCTCCATGATTTTTAATGACTTAGCTTAAAAGATTTTGGTGATGGGTACCCTGTAAAATATGTCAGTATTATCTCTGTGAAGGCTTTTGAGTTATTAATATTAGCTTAAGCTTTCCATATTTGAGTGGAAATTAAAAGAAAACATCAAATCTCTTAACATTTTTCAAACATTTAAAAAATATCTTGAGAAGTAGTTATTAGATAGACTGAAGATAATCAAATAGATGTTGAAAATTCAGACTTTCATTTTTTTTAAAGACAGAAATTATAATATTCAGTAAATTTAGCTAAACTCATTTACATGTGGAGAAGTATTCGCCTTGCCAGTAAGAAAAATGAATGCTTTAATTTTTTATTGCTTTGTAAATGACCCTCTATTCTTGAACTCTTTTCTTATTTTTGTATAGTCTATAAATGAATCATGGTTTTGAACTTTTTTACATCAGTAATAAAAATGAAATTTGATGGGCTAGTAATGAAGGTTCTTTTCATAAAAACAATCATTTTGTCATGACAATTTCCATTAACTGTAACTGTGTTAGCAAAATAGAAGCCATAAAATTCATTTCATTGTGTGTTTTTGTGCTAATTGCATATTTTTATCACTAAGAACTTTTCTAAACCACAGAAATTTCTTTATAACTTAGTTTGCCCTTGGATTAATAAAAAGATATCCGGTATATATTTATCCTATTGAATACTACATTCTTCGTCATAATAGAATTTTCACATATGTTTCATTATCTGGTCAGCCTAAGCATTGACTAGAACTTTATGTAAATAAATTTTTCATCTATTGAGCATTAAGAGGCCATCATTACTGGCCATTTGTTAGTTTCCTTTGCTTATCAGTCTTTATGGTAAATGAAAATGTTGGGGGATGGGAACATAGCCCAGTAGAATACTTGCCTAGCATGCTTTCCTAGCACGCTGAGGCCCTGGTTTCAGTCCTCAGTACCACAAAAACAAAAAACAGGCAAACAGAAGCTATGGACATCTTTAACTGTAAGTAATGTTTCTGACTTGCCTGTTTTATTCATTTAAGGATTGTTATGTTTTCATTGTTTTTACCATTACCATTTATCAGTTTAAGACACTGATTTGGCTAGTGATGAGAACTAGTTATAATATGTTAACTGTTTCACTGGTAATTGCTTTTTTTGTTCTTAAGTTGGAATGACGAATGACTCTGTATGTATTTTCCTCTGTATTAGGGTTCTCCAGTGGAGGAAAGTCAATAGGGCACAGGTATAGGCATGAACAGGTGAGAGGGGCTTTCTTGGAGGAGTTGGCTCATTGGCTTATGCAGGATGAGATGCTCCATACAGGCTGACTGTAACCTGGAGATGGGTTGCTGTTAAGTGGGCTCAGTCCAGATCTGAGGTTCTCACAATCAGGGAAGCTGATACTTCAGTCTAAGAGTCAAGGTCTGAGAGAACCCAGGGAGTGACTGATGTTAAGTCTCAAGAGTCCAAAGATTGTAGTTCTGGTGTCCCGGGTAGGAACGAGGACTCTGCTCAGGGAGGAAAGGAAGCAAGAGAAGGAAGAGGGAGGAAGGGAGCACGATCTCCTCTTGTGCATTATTATTTATTTTTGGTGGTAGGGGAATGTTTGTTTCCTCTTACACTTTGTAGTCCATCATCGGGGAAGTGAAGGGAAGAAGTCAGGATAGGAAGGAGACAGGGACTGATGCAGAGGTCTTGGAAGAATGCTGCTTACTGGCTTGTGACCTGAACCCATGGGAATAAGGGTCCCTAATGGGCAGGTGTTGATGGGGAGGACCAGGAATGAGAAGATGACAGAAAGCTGGGTCCAGGAGGTCTTGATAAACTGGTAGCTTATGCAGTTTTATTAAAAGTATAGTATCTTTTTGGTTTTTTGAGACAGGGTTTCTCTGTGTAGCTTTGGGCCTTTCCTGGATCTCGCTCTGTAGATCAGGCTGGCCTCGAACTCAGAAAGATCTGCCTGCCTCTGCCTCCCAAGTGCTGGGATTAAAGGCATGCGCCACCACCGCCTGGCAAAAGTATAGTATCTTATATGCTGTTTGTAGGGGAGAAGAGGACCAAAGTCAGCAGAAAGCTAAATCAAACAATGTTGGCTAGGAGAACATAGGATACTTAAGACACAACTGCCTTAGTGCTGATAACCACACCCTTCAGTGGGGAAAACCAGATTCCCAGGAACTGAAACCCTAACTCTTTCTAGGCCAGTGGTTCTCAACCAATGGCTTGTGACCCCTTTGGGGGTTGAATGACCCTTTCACAAGGTTCACATATCAGATAACCTGCATTTTTACAGATATTTACATTACAATTCACAATAGTAGCAAAATGACAGTTATGAAGTAGTAGTGAAAATAATTTTATGGTTGGGGGGGGTTTACCACAACTTGAGGAACTATATTAAAAAGTTGCAGAATTAGGAAAGTTGATAACTACTGGTCTAGGCCATGGCCCTAGCCTGAGACCAGCCCTTGCCAAGTCTGCCCCTGGGCAAGGACACAGAGCTAAAGTTCTATTTATTCTTTCATCAGGGCCTCTGAAAAAGCCTTGGATTGGCCTGGCTTCCAACAGGCTTGTTCCTCATGGCTTACTCAACCAGCTTTCTGATACAACCCAGGACCACCTGCTCAGGGATGGTACCGCCCACATTGGGCTTGGCCTTCATATCAAATTTTTATTTGCTTTTGCTTCTTAGCTGATTAGGAGAAGCACTTCTTT